CTCCCGGGCCCGCCCTCCTGGCCCGCGGCGGCCAGGCCGCCGCCGAGGAGCCCGCCGCCGCCGCGGCCGCCCGTCCAGAGGGCCGCCCGGACCCCCAGCGCCGCTGGCCCGCCGCCCTCGCGCATGGCTCCGGGCCGCCGCGCGGCCGCGCGGCCGCGCCGAGCCGAGCGGCTGGCCGGCGTCGCCGCTCATGACCCGAATGTCGGGTTGGGGTGGGGGGGGGACGGGCTGCGTATATGTGGGCTTCGTATTTGCTTGTTCAATGTTCCCCGGCCCCCCCCCACACTGGAAGTGGATGGCAAATCGGAGCCTTCGGGTCGGGTTGGGCCGGCGGTGAGTACACCGCCGGTGTCGAGCTTGTCTCCATGCCCAAGTCTGGCAGGCCAAGACGCGGTGGGCATCCTACAGGGGTGCGTCCTCGGAAGCGGAGGGGGCCCTTGGGATCGGCACCGCGAAAAGGTGATGCCCATCATAGGGACAGAGATGTACTTCAGGCCGGCAAGGCCGCCGCCGCCGCCGCCAGATGCAGCGGAGGAGGAGGAGGAGGAGGAGGAGGAGGAGGAGGAGGAGGAGGAGGAGCCAACGTACTAGATGAGGGCGAGTCCCACGTCAGCTAGGCCTGCACAGCGAGCCAGGAAGAGAATGAAGAGGAGGAGGAGGAGGAGGAGGAGGAGGAGGAGGAGGAGAACACGGCTCGAAGACCCATGACTTTTGCATGTGTTGTTATTTCCGTTTCTTTTTTTCCAACCATCCTGTGGTGTTGGGTCCTCGTCTTGAAGAGACGGTCCCCGCGTCTCCTCCTTCCGTCCTCCCTTCCTTCCTCCTCCCTTCCTTCCTCCTCCCACCTCCCTCCTCCTCCCCCTCCTCCTTCCTCCTTGCGTTTCACCCACCCAGTACAACGCTTCGTGGCCCCATAGGGAGCTCCTCCGAAGGCCCCAGTGCCACCGCCCGCATGCGTCACCCACACCCATTTCGGCACACCCCTCACACGTTACGTGGCCCCATAGGGAGCTCCACCGAAGGCCCTGGTGCCACCGCCCGCATGCGTCACCCACACCCATTTCGGCACACCCCTCACACGTTACGTGGCCCCACAGGGAGCTCCACCGAAGGCCCCAGTGCCACCGTCCGCATGCGTCACCCACACCCATTGTGGCACAACCCTCACACGCTTCGTGGCCCGATAAGGAGCTCCACCGACGGCTCTTGTGCCACCGCCCGCACGCGTCACCCACACACATGTCGGCACACCCCTCACGCGTTTCGTGCCCCCATAGGGAGCTTTACCGAAGGCCACAATGTCACCGCCCGCATGCGTCACCCACATCAATTTCGGCACACCCCTAACACGTGTCGTGGCCCCATGGGGAGCTCCACCGAAAGCCCCAATGCCACCGCCCGCATGCGTCACCCACGCACCTTCCGGCACACACCTCACGCGTTTCGTGGCCCCATTGGGAGCTTTACCGAAGGCCCCAGTGCCACCGCCCGCATGCGTCACCCACCCACACACACACATTTCGGCACACCCCTCACACGCTTCGTGTCCCCATAGGGAGCTTCACCGAAGGCCCCAGTGCCACCGTCTGCATGCGTCACCCACACCCATTTCGGCACACCCCTCACACCCTTCGTGGACCCATAGGGAGCTCCACCGAAGGCCCTGGTGCCACCGCCCGCATGGGTCACCCACGCCCATGCCAGCACACCCCTCACGCGCTTCGTGGTCCCATTGGGAGGTAGCTCCACCGAAGGCGCCAGTGCCACCGCCCGCACGCGTCACCCACACCCATTTCGGCACACCTTTCACACGCTTCGTGGCCCCATGGGGAGGTAGCTCCACCGAAGGCCCCAGCGCCACCGCTCGCATGCGTCACCCACGCACGTTTCGGCACACCCCTCACGCGCTTCGTGGCCCCATAGGGAGCTCCACCGAAGGCGCCAGTGGCTGCGTTCGCATGCGCCCACCGCACCCAATTCGGCACGGCCCCAGTGGCTGCGTTCGCATGCGCCCACCGCACCTACTTCGGCACACCTCTCACGCGTTTCGTGGCCCCATCGGACATTCCACCGACGGCCCAAGTGGCTGCTTTCGCATGCGCCCACCGGACAAGTTTTGTCACACCCCTCACACGTTTCGTGGCCCTATGTGGAGCTCCTCCGAATGCGGTGCATACAACGACGGTGCTCACAACTTCATCTGGTTGGGTCCTTCGCCAGGGATTTTTTTATTTGGGGGCCCGCCTAGGGGGGATTCTTGTCGTCACAGCTGGGTCCGCCTGGAAGTCCTGGGAAAAGACGCACCCCTGGAGAGGTCCAAGGAGGAGGGGGGGGATTCTTGAGAGAGGAGCAAGGAGGAGGAGGAGGAGGAGGAGGAGGAGGAGGAGGAGGAGGAGCAGGAGGAGGAGGAGGAGGAGCAGGAGGAGGAGGAGGGGGAGGAGGACTCATTTTGCTCCTCGCCCTATTCCCCTCTGGAAGACTAGGAAGGAGGACGGGGACGCGGAGGCTGAGACGAGGAGGAGGGATCAGGAAGAGGAAGAAGACTGTTCCTCCTCCTCTTCCTCCTCCTCCTCCTCGTCCTTCTCCTGATCTCCCCCCCCTTCTCCCCCACTTCCCCCTCCGCGTCCTCCTCCTGTTCTCTCTCCTCCTCCTGTCCTCCTCTCGTCCACTCCACAACTACACATTCTGAATACAATTCTGCTCTCTCCCAGGGCCCTGTCCAGAAGAGGCACCACCATCTCCGCGAGCTGTTTTTACACAAAATTGGCCACCAGTGTCTTTCGTACGTGTTCGTTGCCATCCGATTGTCTTCGGTGCTGCAAGTTGGTGGTGCTCCCGCTGTAGCGTGAGTCTCATGTTCGGATCTGCGCCCTGCTCCCGTCGTTCAAACTGACACTGTCTCCCCAGCGCATCCGAGTCCTTTCTCATCGGTGTCGCCCCCATCCTTTCCCCTCTTCCGCCTTCCTCTGGTCCTCCTGCTCAGTTCGGTCCTTCCAATCCAGTTCCCGCTGCTGCTGTTCGTCCTCTTTGTCCTCCTCCACCTCCTCCTCCTCCTCCTCCACCTACTCCTTCTTCATTATCCTCCTTTTTCTCCTCGCCACCTCCCCCATACCCGATTGCGCATGGCACGATAAGGGGTCTTTGTCTGAGTTCCAGGTCCGCTATGACACGTACCCGCGGATAGAGAAAACACCAGCGCCGAAAGGGAAGGGATGGGTGGGAGGATTAGGCTGCCAGATATGGCGCGAACGCACCTGGCTGTCCTCTCCTCCTCCTCCTCCTCCTCCTCCTCCTCCTCCTCCTCCTCCTCCGCTCCTCCTCTCCTCGTCTCCTCCCCCGCCCTCGCCCTGTCCTCGTCTCCTCCCATGCTTGCCCACCCCACCCCCCCGCACCTTCGCCTCCCCCCCCCCTTCCGCCTCAGCAGGGCGCGCCGAGGTGGGCAGGCCGGGGGGCCAGCGGCGCTCTCGCGACATGAGACAGCACGCCGGGGCCCCATCTCCCTCTGGTAGTGGGCAGGGGAGGAGAAGGCGAGGAGAGGGCGAAGGCGGGGGAGGAGAGGAGGAGAGGAGAGGGGAGGTGGAGGAGGAGGAGGAGGAGGAGGAGGAGGAGGAGGAGGAGGAGCGAGCAGGAGCACAGGAGGAGGAGAAGGTGAGAGGAGGAGGAGGAGGAGGATGAGAGATAGAAGGAGGAGAGTAGTAGGAGGAATAGGAGTAGAGGAGCAGGAGGAGGAGGGGGAGGAGGGGAGGGGGAGGAGGAGAGGAGAGGAGAGGACACCCAGGTGCGCTCGCGCCATCCCCCGCCCGTCCCTCCGCCCCCTCACCTCAAAGCTTAGGACGGGCATGTCCCCCTACATGTTGGATTTGGGACGAATTATCCCGGCAAAGCAACCTAACGGCGATGTGTATAAGCATCTCTGGAAGCATTCCCTTAAGATTCAGGTGATAATCCAGTTGTAGAATTCTGCTGTTCTCACAGTCGCAGTCGCATTCGCAATGACAGTCGCAGTGGCAACGGCCTTAGGATCCAATGGAATCCTAAGGATTCCTTGGGATTCCTAAGGCATCCTTAGGTATCCATAGGAATCCTTAGGAAACCTTAGGAATCCTGATTCCTAGGGATTCCTAGGGATGCCTAAGGATTCCTGAGGAATCCTAAGGATGACGAGAAGCGCGCTTAGACTTGAAGAGTCGCGCGATGGACGTTAGTCCCGGCCCGGAGGGAAATTTATCAACTGGGGAGGTCCAGGAGGGGAAGGGCTCGGGGTACCTCCTTTATGACGGGAAGCGCGCTAAGACTCGAAGAGTCGCGCGATGGACGTTGTTTCCGGGCCCGGAGGGGAAACTATTTATCAAGTGGGGGGGTCCAGGGGGGGAGTGGTGGCGGGGTCGCCCTCGGGGCCCTGAGGTGGCGGATGACGGGAAGCGCGCTTAGACTCGAAGAGTCCGCGGCGATGGTTTGGACGTTTGTATACCTGCCGTAAGGGGAAGTCATTTATCAGTGGGGGGTGTCCAGGGGGTTAGTGTGGCGCCGCCCGCCTCCAGGTCACCTGGCGGATGACGGGAAGCGCGCGTTAAACTCTTTTAGACTAGAAGAGAAAAAAACAACCGAGAAAAAAACAAAACAGAAAAAAAAAACAAGAAAAAAAAAAAAGAAAAAAAAGAGAAAAAGAAATAATAAAAAGCAAAACGAAAAAAAAAAAAAGAGAGAACAGATAAAAAAACAGAAGAGAGAAAAAAAAAAAGAAAAAAAAGAAAAAGAAAAAAAAAAGAAAAAAAAAAATGTCGCGCGATGGACGTTGTTCCCGGGCCCGGAGGGGAAATATTTATCAAGTGGGGGAGTCCAGGGGGGAGTGGTGGCGGGGTTGCCCTCGGATCGCGAGCGGGCGGATGACGGGAAGCGCGCTTAGACTCTTCAGAGTCGCGCGATGGACGTTGTTTACAGGCCCGGAGGGGAAATCATTTATCAAGTGGGGGGGGGGTCCAGGGGGGGAGTGGTGGCGGGATTCGCGTTCCGTTCGCACCTGGCGGATGACGGGAAGCGCGCTTAGACTCGAAGAGTCGCGCGATGGACGTTGTATACCGGCGCCCGGAGGGGAAAGCATTTATCAAGTGGGGGGGTCCAGGGGGGGAGTGGTGGCGCCGCCGCTCCTTGAGGATCTCCTGGCAGATTTTGAAA